TAGCCATGTAGCGGTCATACGCCATCACAGCCAGCAAGAACACTTCTGTAGTCACAAACACAAGGAAGGAGAAATGCTGGGCAAAACATGCTGAGTAAGGAATGGCTTTGTTTTCCACTAAGAAGCCAATTAACATTCTTGGAGAAAAGACAGAGGAATAGCAAAGATCAACAAAAGACAAATTGCAGAGGAAGAAGTACATGGGAGTGTGCAGCTTGGGGGTTATCCTGATCAGGGTCACCATCCCAAGATTGCCTATGAGAGTGATGAAATAAATCACTAAGAAGATGATGAAGAGAGGAAGCTGCAGCTCTAGCTTGTCTGTCAGTCCTAGGAGTATGAACTCTGTCACCAAAGTGCTATTGTCTTTAGCCACGTTTATCATATTTCAGGATAGTATACCTGTTGGAATGAGGAAAACAGTATGAAATGAGATAGCAGTCACATGTACATATGATGCCACGATCTTTACATTATCCTCAAAAAAGTACAAAGCTTTGATGCTTTCTGTAGCACCTACCTATGGTTAAGTTCTGAGCAAATCCCCAGGGGCTGAGTAACTATTCTGAAGTCTTCCAGGGGCTGGAACTGGTCTGTAATCCAAGTAGGTGTTAAAAGGTGATGATATGATATTTGAGACAAATAATGGGAAAACAAAGATGAGAAAAGTAGAGCTAAACACAGAAATACCTGCAGCAAACTATGTGTCACCGCATGGGTCATTTTTTTTTCCACTTGAAGCATCCCTGAGGTTCCCTTTTTTTAAAAAAAAATTGCAGTATATCAAAACCTCTTGCAATTGCTCAGCAGTCTTCTGCTTTTCAAAGACATTTGTGACAGCTTTTGTTAGGGCATCATTAAGCCCTCCTGCAATATGGTATGCTATTGTTTTGCCTTTATACAATAGTGTCCTAAAGCGTGGGAGGAGACACTGGGAGCGCTCGATACTTTTGCTCAGATAAAAGGCACATCAGTGAAACTATGTCTTGGTTGTCATCCTTTTAGTACCCATCAGTGTAGCTAATATGTGTTTGAGGTACATCTTTACACTCCCCCTCTATAGGAAACTACATTTGACTTCAAGTTGCACAACAGATGCTGTTTTCACTTTAAAATTCTCTCCATGCTCCAACATATCATAAATGTTTCTCTGTGCTGCAGAGAAACAGCTGCAGCTGTTCTTCACTTCCACCCACTCAATGAACACATTTTTTTTCTCTGAGGGAATTTGAGCATCCTCATCATATGGAAAGATCCATGATCTATTATTCTCCCTCCTGTTATTAATACTATTTTAAGTGTACACAAACATAATGCTGAAACCAAGGTCTTTTCTTCTGCAAACAATAAGTAATTTTACTGCATGGCCAGAAGTGAAAAGTTGTTCTCATTGCTGAAACACATTTTTATTCTGTTCAGAAAATAAAAAATCTAGGGCCATACTGGCAAAAATCACTGTGACTGACACGGCTCAGACCTGTGTAATGCTCCTGGCAAAGCTGCAGGTTTCCAGCATGACCCTGGATCCTTTGCGTAGTCCTGTTCTTGTGCCTTTCCGCTGTCTTTTCTGCTCAGTCTACATTCTCGGTCTAGGACAGGAGACCAGCTATTCAAATGCTTTCACAGAGGTGTTGTTATATTTAAAGTGATGTCTAGTAATTAGAATAAGAACTTCAGTCATATGGAAAACTTACAGTGTAGGTGTATCCCAATAATAAGCTTTTGCTGCAAAACAATGAATTTTCAAACTTGAAGATTGTACAATCAAATCTTATTCTAGAGCTGAAGCGTATGCCAAGAATCCATCTCTATAATTCTCTAGTCTTACCTGGCATCTGGATGAGCCCTTCAGAACCAGATCTGAATTACACATGATAGGTATGCTGTATTCTAAGATAGAAAGAAGAAATACAGTCCATTTTGTCTCTGTTTTTAAAACGATTCTAATGTAACATGAGGAGAGAAGGGAAGTTTGCAAGCTGATACCTGAAAAGAAAGAAAATCATCATTTCAGCTCCAGTGGCAAGAAGCAGCAATGAATCACACCAACCTTTTGGCCAGAATGGTTGACTTTGCCCCCAAAAGGCTTGTGCAGGGAGACAGCTTCTGGGTACACTTACTTATTTGGTCCTCATGGGCAGAATCCCTGAAGGAGAGTTCAGCAAAGATTTTCAGGACAGTCACAAAGGGGATCATTAGAAACTCTCTGAATTTGAAGAAAGTACAGAGTTAGGCTTTATCCTCAGCAGCTAATTATATAGAAAGGGCTCATTAACCTTTCTTTGCTTAGTTCTGATGTGGGATAAAAATAAAATCTTCATGTTGTGAAGTCACAGGTCAGAAAGGAGCCATAAGACTGTTCCATAAACAGTTGAATTGGATGTTGAGATTTAGAATTTATTCTCTTCTTCTGGACTGCCTAAGTTTAGAGCTTCCCTTGAACTTGTATAGAATCATAGACATGTTAAAGTGGAAGTACGTGTGGGGGTAACCAGATGACTTCCAGTGTGCGTGTGCCCCTTCAAATCAGTCTCTCCGCTTAAGGTGTAATAGCTTCTGCAGCTCTGACTTAAAAGACACTGATTACCCAAACTGATCATTTATGTCTGTCTCAAATATATGAGTCAGGCACATTTTCCTCCTTACTTTAATGAGGGCCTATGTGACAGCCCTACTTACAGTCTTCAACACTATGGCCATCCAATATTCAGTACAATGGACTGCTCTTGAAGGGTGGGATTCTTCATACCAGGCAAAGAAACCTAACTGCAGGAGTCCTGCTTTTTAGTTTTCACTGCTGGGCTTCATGTTCTGGATCTCCACTGGTTATGATGGGAGCTAATCAAGCCATCGTTAGTTTCTTAAAAAAAAAAAAAAAGAAAGAAAGAAAGAAAGAAAAAAAAAATCATCTAATCATCTTGACCGCCTGCCAAGTCTAGAGGGACAGAGGGAAAGTTTTCAGGTGCTAGGCCTGGTTTTGGCCTCCTCCATTCCCAAACTCCCAATTTTCCTCCTACTTGCAGGATGGAGGGGAGACTCCCCAGGCACCCTAGGGTGGCCTGAGAGGCAGAAGAGGAGGATGGCTCCCTCAAACACCTGCAGGTGGCCTGTGAGGAGAAGGAGTCTAGGAAGCACAGGTACATGAAGGTGGCCTTGAAGGAGAAGGAGGCTGGACCCCCCAGGTGACCTAGCAGGGGCTGGAAGCAGGAAGAGAAAGAAAGATAAATCCATCAGTCGCCCCAGTATGTGAGTCATCTGGTGAGGAAGACCACGCAGCCCCTCAAAGGAGGCCAGGGAGGAAGAGAAGGAGGAAGGATCCCTCAGCTCTGCTCAGCCCAGCCTTGGAGGAAGAAGAGGAGGAAGACACATACACAGCTTGTCTGAGAATGAGGAGAATGGAGGCCCTCCAGAGAGCAGTCAGAAGAGCCTCTCCTTGGGCTTCCCATGCTGCTTGGTAGCTGCTTCCTTGTGTTTAAGTCCCACAGCCTGGTACCAGGGCTGCAGGGCTGGGAAATGTCCATTCCACAGGCACATCTCCCTGGCTTGCGCTGGTGGAGAGTTGTACAGAGGCAGCAGGGAATGTAAGGGAAGCCCACCTCTCCATCCATCTGATTTCTCAAACTATTGCCATCACTTATTGCTTATGAGCCATTCCTTTTATCATTTCTAACACTTAATTGGACATTTGCTTACATAGAGACGTCCACAGATGGGCCTTGAGGTGTTAGTACTTCCTGATTATAATGTCTACTTACTAATTAGTGGTTTCCTACACAGGTCATAGTACCCCAGTATACATGTATGTATTCTGTAATGCAGTGGTGCATGTTTGGCTGCAAGCTCAGTTCCAGGAATTTACTTGGGTTACTTGAACTTATTTCACTTGTGTACTAGAGGATAATACTTTTACTTGTAGCTTTATGGCTAATAACCACCAATATACTTTTATGGTATAAAGAGATGATATTTTCTCTATGGTAGAGAGAAAACTGATCTGAGTATTTTCTCCTAGTAGCACCTATTCTTTCACTGCACCCATTACCATCTTATTAATTCCTCCTTTCCTAAAATTCTTTAAAATTCCTTCAAAAAGAGAATGCAGACAGACAGACAGCTTCTTTACTTATCAAACACCTTGAATCTGAGGCCTTGGAGGACCCTCATACATACACATCAGAGGAATGCTGCGAAGGTATAAAGTGAGGTTATATCATCCTGCAGCTCAGAAGAAAGTGATGGAGTGATTGACTACCATAGCTTTTGCAAAGGAAGCTAAAAAAGTGACAAAGGAAACAGGAGAATGCCTTTGCTCTAGACAAGCCAGCTCTATCAGCTAAGTGTAACAACAACTGTTTGTCCCTGACATTCTATGTACAATGAGATATGTATGACTCTTAACATGCTGAAATACAGGCTGAGTATGATAGCAGCAGCTTTGAGAAGCAAAGACACAGAATGCTGCTTGGAGAAGTGTGGGCATGGTGTTGTAACATTGAGGATATCCCAGAGACCTGCAGTGAAACTGGTGCTGGTGCTGCGATTAAACTGTATATTGCAATTGCTAAGTGTGTGTTGTGGTTTAAGTGCATTGCTGTGGCACTGTGCTAAATCCTGTACAACTTCAAATAACTTCAAATAAGTAAACTTTTTACTGAGCATTAAATCCTCCACATGTGCAGATGTGAAGTGTGCAACTGCACCCATCCATAATCTGACTCAAACACATCCTCAAGCTCAGAAATCCTCCTGGCCATGTTTACTCCTCCAACACAGTTAAAGAAAGGAGATTGTTTCTTCCTGTTCTGCCCATTCCGCTCCTGCTAGCCCTGTTCAGTCTTAACATATCTGAATGCAAACACCAGGAAAGACTACAAGGAGAATTTTGATAACTTCACATCTATTGGAGTTACGCTCTCCAGTTCTTATCCTTTTTTTGTTAGCCGTCCTTGTGACAGAGTCCTTCATAGTCCTTGTTCCTCAGCACATTCAGGATGCAAAGGCATGGCAGGTTGCAAATAGTATTATCTTCTTAACAAGCCTTGTCTTCTTATTTGTGTAGGTAGGCATCAAGCCAGAGTTCTCCTGAATTCTTCAGAGAGCTGAGAAAGAGCACAAAAGACCACATTATGAGGAGTTCCTTAGGGGAGTGCTGTTGGGCAAGACAGAAACAAGAGGGTTTCTGTGTGATATGCGAGAGAAGAACAAGCCAACTGTTGTTATAAGAATCCAGGTTCTCCTACATCCTATCCCTTTTATTCCGGTGTGTTGACTGTTACTTACTGCACAATGTCTGCAAAGGCGGTGAGCAAAGGCTTGCACTGGTACTCAATGCCATGTTTGGCACAGAGGGACTTCACCAGAGGAGCCACCTTCCAGTAGTTGTGTCGAGGCATCGTGGGGAACAGGCTGTGGAGAGAAAGGCAAATTTTCTTCCAGTACCCCATGGGAAATGCTGTGCTTCAGATGTTCTTATATCCATTATTACTCCCCAGGAATCTCACAACCCATGCTGAGGTGGACTTTTAGCTGCTCCTGTCTCTGCACCTTCCTCTAATCTGCATTTAGAGCAAAGCACTCATACAATTCTTCTTTCCTCCTCCTCCCTTATTTTCCACTGTTATAATTGCATCTCTGAAACAACATTCCTCCAAGTTAAGTGATGACATAACCTTGGGAGAATCTACTTCTCTCTCCCCTTTCTCCAGAACTGTCTCCATCACTAATGAGCACAGGAATGGAGCCCATGCCTCAGCTGCATATCTCACTCTCCACAGTAACAGCACAAGCAGAGAGTATGGATAGATTTGGATGAGTATGTCAGGCTACAGGTGTGGTGCCTTGGCATGGACACTTTTGCTAACATTTACAGGCTACCACTTTGGACCGATCCTGTTGCTGTCTCTATGGTCTCATAGATGCTGCCCATGTTCAATTTCTGCTGGTTATTCTGGTCTGCCTGGGGATCCAGTGCAATTTCAAATTACACTGTTATGCTCTGTAGAGATCTCACCCTTCTAAAAACTGTAAACCCACTGGCAGCCCAATAGCTATTTGTAGAAAACACAGCAAGAAGAGTAGGGTAAGAAAAAAAAAAAGAAAAAAGAAAAAAGAGGAAGGAAAACTTTCTCTAAGGGGCTGTACTCACTGATGTTCAATCTGGAAGTTTAGATGCCCAGTGAACCAGTCATTGAACAGAGACTGCTCAACGTTACATGTTGCCTGGAGCTGGAGGGAAAAGGAAAGCAAAATGAGCAAAGATGGGTGACCTTTCTCGTTTGTCTGAAGAACATAATATGTTGTGTCATTTTGTTGTTTGTTTTCTTTTCTTGACTAAATTGAGTCACCTCAAGGCAAGGATCAAAATTCTCCTTCAGTTATGTGGACCAGCCGTTGTATTCAGACCAGCACAGGAGTTGGTCTGAGCATATGTGAATAGAGCTGAAAGTTTCTCCTGGGTCTTCATGAATCTGTGTCCACAGACAGAGCAGAGAGGGCTTCTGTGACTGGCCCTGTTATACCTTTGCTTTCCAGTTTTTTCACCTCTAAGGCAATGCAGGATTTACTTGTCCTGCACCCGTAACCCATATGGCCATGAATCTTGGGAAGGGACAATATCTTACCTGTGTAGACACCCAGTCCAAATTCTTATCATAATATATATCCATTGGGATATGGTTCATTTGTGAGACCCAGACAAACCAGCTGCTCTCCAGCATCCTGTCCAGTCAAATAAGAGTCCAGAATTAAAAACAAATAAACGAACAAAAACACACACACACGGTTAAATAAGCTGGTTATGACCCACTGAAATGACAGTGTGCCTAAACGTAAAAATGCATGATTAACACTAGCCTCACTAATCCAACTGCCGTCAGAAAACAGCCTGCTATATGGGGTAGCTTTCTCCAATACATTAATCACAGCAGTGTGCTGGCTATTACTACTCTCTACTATTAAAACAATTTCTTATGAACCTCAGCATTATGTACAGTTTTGTTATGCTACTGATGCAGGATGGTATTCATCTCATTTTGTCTGTACCAAAGACCAAAATGATTAGAACTAATAAAATGCACTAACATTAATATACTCCTAAATGGAATGTAATTTTTAAGACTGCTGGCTAAAAGATTTACATGACCAGGCTAAGTTATTTCCGCTAAATGTTCTCTCTCTTAAATCAGTAGCAGAGCCACTATCCAAAGCACTGAACAGTATATAAATTAAGTATTCTCCAGTTTGGTCAGCACCCAGCAAAACATCTCCACAGCCAATATGCTTACATCAAACTTGGACTAGTGATTAAGCGGAGGAGTTTTATTTTAGCTTTAGGAAATTATATGATTCAGCAGAAAGTGGGACGGTCAAAGAGAAGGTGGAAAAAACAACAAAAAAAAAAGGCAAAGGCAGGTGAACACAGATGAAAAGCACATACAGTCAAAGGCTAAAGGAGTGTCTAAAGAGATATTACCTGAATATAAAATAATATGCTAGGAGACTCTTTATTCCTAATAATGATCCATACATAAAAAAGAATCTGATATAGAAGGACAGCATCCAGGCAAGGTCCTACCAAAAAACAGAGACATGGAGAAAAAAAAATTAGAAACTACATTCACTTAAATCTTTTTCTTGAGCTTCAAGTTATAAGAATGAGGGGGAAAAATCTACTTTTGGCTTCTGTAGTTTTTTGCTAAATTGAATAATCTAAATAAACTCAAAAGGAGGAAGAATGAAACATCAATTTTGCTGCCCAGCATAGGGAGCTATGCAGTTCAGTGCAGAGTATATGCCCACAAATCCAGGACAGTAGTTCCCATAAATCCACACCCTCCTGTTCTGGACCTTTATTTCCAAGCTTGCTTTCCAAACCAATGAAGAAGATTGTGCACATGCTGGTTCCATAAATGTGACAAAGCAGCGCAAGTCAAATAGCCCAATGCCCATTTTTGTACCCTTAGCATCAAGCTGGGGAACAGAGCAATAGTTTAGCAGAAAGCACACAGAGCCAGTGGAAGTATTTCAGCATAGTGACTGTAATATCAGGTGTAACTGCAAAGCATACAACAACACACTGCAGGAGCTGAGTTCTGGACAGAAACAAGCTCTGTGTTTGGAAGCAAGGTAGAAGGGCCTCCCCTAACATCTCCTGGCTGCACATTTAGCAATACTTACCGCCCAGTACCTTTTTGTGTATGCAATGTAAAATGTGTGGCAGTGGAAGTAGGTGGGAAACAGGAGCGGAGGAAGAGCTGTATGGGAGAATTCATTATCACCATTAATGTTATTAGTTGCTCAATAGAGAGAATGTTCGGAGAAGTTGCAGGGTCATAGTATTATACAGAAGTTTCTGGAAGATATCAGTATGCATCAAACTAGAGAAACAACAAGTGACCTGGGAGTCTATTGGTCTCAGCAGTAAAATGAGCGTGTAACAAGTTCTCCAAAGCTACGAGGAGGACAGTTCCTGCTCTTCAGCATGACAGTCTGGAGATGCTACAGCTTCTGTTACCTGTGACCACAGGTACAATCACCTTCTGCTTCCTCATGGGGAGCTATGGCCAAGCTTGTTTATGCATTTTATTAGCCGTACACTGTATGGCAGAGATCAACAGTCCCTGGAACACTAATCTCACTCTCCCAAGTAACTCCCCACCTACGGAGTTAAGATTCAAACTTCTTTGGCCAAAAAAGTGTAGATTTTTTTGCAATACAGTATGGCTTCAATGTGAACTAGAATTAGGGTAACCCACCACATTTTCTACCTGGAAAAAGCCAACTGGTTAGGAATACACTGGTTTGGGTTGAGCATTTGAGGTCAAGAAGGGCACAGAAACCCAACCGTATAGGATAATTCAGGTCGGAAGGGACCTCTGAAGGTTTCTGTTCCAACTTCCTGCTCAGAGCAGTTTCAACTATGTGGTTAGACATGGTTACTCAGGGCGTTATCCAGTCAGGTCTTCAAAATTCCCCCCAGTTTAGATTCAGATTGATTATTATATTCTTCAACACTGGCACCCTCATTCTAGTCAAGTCCAGTGTCTGGTAAGGTCTACAGGGCCCACTGGTGCTCATGGTTTTACATGGGAATGGAGATACTCACTGATGAAGAAGTATTTGTGCTGATGGTTGTATGGCATGTATTTTTTCTTTTTGATACCAAGCTGTAAAAAGAAAGAACAATAAAATGCTTAATGGGGCCTACACAACCTCTTCAGGTAACTTTTATTTTCATTCTTTCCTTCCAAGGAGCACATTCTGTGCATAGTTCCTCAACCCCCATTATCGCTGTCTTGTGTATCTCTCCTATTAGTTTACATACATACACAAGTAATTGCTACAAAGTAGTTCTAGATATACTCATGATGACAAAACAAAATAGAGGGAATATAGCCCATAAATAAAAGCTACATTGTTATATTTAAAGTAGGTAGGAAGTAAACTACTGGAAGGGAGTAGTTCCCTGCACTGGAAGTGAATAATGTAGCAAAAATTTTTACAAGAGGATGTCATCTGTTAAAAGATGATGTGGTCTAAAAGTGTATGCAAGTGAGGATAAAATTAATCTCTACCCATCCTCAAAATATAAGCGTTGAATTTTCTTGTTTCTATGTTATTATGCTCATAATTCATTTGGTGCAGAAGGGGCCCAGCATTGTTTTAGTTTGTTGCTCCTGGAGGTGGAATTGTACAAGGTAAGAATGTCCTACACTGTTGCATGACCTCTGCCCATGAGAGCTGCAGTCCTGCAGAGCTACCTGAACAGCCCTTGGTTCCTCAGCCCTGCCATTACTGGCTGCCTTTAGCAACAAGTCTTCTGCCTTCTCCTAGAAAGGACAAACATGCAGAAGCAGCCTATACCTCTGAGTTTCAGTCCAGACTATTAGATCACCTGCAAACATTGCTGCCCAAGAGCTACTAATTAGTGCTCACATTGCTATAAGAAACAACAGATCATTATGTTGCTATAATCATTAATAGTCTTTCTCCTAGTGGGGTTTCTACAATGGGTAAAAAACAGATGAATCACAACTAATTTTGTTTGCAACTACTTGTCAATTGCTTAAGCAATGAAGGAACTTAATGTAAACTGTGACCAGCTCGTGAAGACAAGTGGACACAGAAATTAAAGTTTGTTGTTTCGATTTTTTACCCAGAAATCTTAGTTTTAGAGCCTTATGTTGTAGTGTGCATTTTGACTAGTGCGTTGTTCCCAGGCCTAGCACATGAACATGAACACACACACTGACCTCCACAGAGAATTTTTTCCCCAGAGTAAACAAGAAAGGGTGCATATCAATGTCAGGATCTTTCCGGAAGCAGTTGGGCTTGGCATGATGCTGGGAGTGCAGAAGAGTCCACCATTTGGCTGATGCCCCCTGTTAAAGTGAGAAAATATATGTATATATGAGGAATACAATGATCTCAAAGATGGTTTCTCTCAGGTTCCTAATGCTGAACATGCCCTCCTCCACAGGGTCTTTAAATTGTGCAGTTTTGTACTAAGAACACTGAATCTAGTAGGCATTTCCAGAGCCAGGTACTTACAATCAAATGGCACATCACAAACTTATGCAGCAAGTGGTTCCACTTGATCGTCCTGAAGACTGAAAGATGTCCTAAATCATGCTGTAACCATGAAGCCTGGATCTGGAAGAGGAAAAAAGGAGCCACTGAGAGCAGGAGAAAGAGAAATCAAGCCCAGGACAGTGATGTGCCCATCATTTGGTGTGGGATATCAAGATTTATTTCTTGGATACTTCTCCAACACCGTGATCAAATCCTGACATCCTTAAGGGTTCCCCTAAAATATCTCTTTCTGGAAAAGTCACAGATTAAGCACACTGAGAACTCCCCACAGGCAGATTTTCTTATCTGCACTTTCTGTAAACATGTGCCATTCAAACTCTGTCTTCTAACAACCAAAGAAGAGAAATACACCAAGTGAAGAAATGGAGGACTACATAACAAACATTAGATGTATGACAGTTGATGCAACTCTTCATATAAACTGTGCACTTGTAGCTTACCTGGGAAACTGTCAGTACCACCAGAGAGGCAATAAAGGGTATTAACGAAGTCCCAAAGTAGAAGAGAATGAGCCAAGCAGCAGCATCCAGCAAGAGGATGTGAATGAGGTGCAGGAAGAAGAAGAGCTGATTTGGCTTCAGAAGACCCATCTTCTCAACAGTGGCACGCAATTCACGGAAGTCTTCCACCAGCATTTTCTGTGGGAAGCATCAGTGTTAGACCACTCCTTGCTCCCAGAGCACAGAAACCTCAAATCCCCTTTATGCTGCCACTGCTGTAGGCAATGAGACAGAGAAAGTTGGGGCAGGCTAGGAGAGGGGACAGAGGAAAGCACAGAGGTCCATACAGTCTAAGGAGTATTTGCCCACCAAGACTACTCCTATCCCATCTATGCCCCTCTCAATAGGTTTTCTTCAACACAGCAGTTTGGTAACTCAGCACTGCTTCCATGGACAATTAAGGATATGGACTTTGAGACTGTTACAGAAGGCTCACAGAGAGCATTGCTGATGCAGCCCATGAAACTAGGCT